CCCCCCCCCCCCCCCACAAATGCCATTAACGAATTTATTATTCGAAAGTTGAGTCCGTTGGCAGTTGTAGATTTCATATACATCTCTTGCCTAGTCCCTGTACGGCGTTTTCCCAGTCCCTCTCGGTCAATTCGTTTCGGTGACGTATCCGAGGCGAACGGGCGGGAAACGCCTAGACAAAAACAGAATGCGCATGCGTGCGTTACTTTTTGAAATTCAAAGATGACGTTAATGTTGTGAGCAGTAAGCAAGCAGGCAGCACGAGAGTTTGGTTATTAACCACTCTTGTGTATATTTGTAGGATCGACTTTTGCCGACCGGCTTTGAAAAGTCATCAGAATGTTATTCATAGTCCAATGAAGATTTATACTGCTCCTTCAATCTCATCATTCCAGCTGAGCTATCGGAGTTTGCCGCTCGCGAATTTCAAAGTAAACACAATAATGACCCGTGCAGTGTTGTAAACTTAGACCTCAGATCTTGAATAATTAGAAAAACCATACTTTCAAATAAAATTCATTAGCTGCGTATCAAAAAGTGCCCAGAAACTGAATCTAAAAGTAAAAATCCTATAAAATTCGCCGACATTCACAGAAGTGATGCGTGTATTATAAATGTGAGAAGCATTAAATTCAACTTGCATGCGTTGTCTCAGGATCGTGTTTTGAGCAAATGTTAATCAATGAAAGGACACACGACAATAGACAGAGAAATTAATTCTCGAAAATTTTTACTCAAAGGCCCATAAATTAATCCATGAAAGCAATTCGCGTGACACAAATTTGGCTCGTGGATCCGTTCACGCAAGGAAAATCGGCTGGGCACGTGGCAAAAATTATTCAACACAAATCTCAAATCAGGGCGCTCACGCCGATTTCAAAATGTATAAAACGTTAAAGATACAATATTCACAAATGCGTAATTTTCTTGACTATAGAGTTCAAAATGTACCTGAAAATTCTTCAAAAACTTTGCTGCTTGGTGGCGTTTCAAAACAAGCAAAGCGCTCCGATCGGCCGTGATAAAAATTCCGTGTATTTTAAATTCCGCGAAGGACAATTTTATAAAGCCGGAAAAGCCTTTCTTTGTCAACTTGAAGAAAACTAAGGATTCTGTTGAAGATTCCTTTCCCATCTGTGTGATTTAGCGATGTATTTTTAACTTTGAAATTCGAAACACTGATGTTGTTTACCATCGCCATTGAGCTGTCTCACTTTTGAGGATTTTTGTCTAGGCCACACATTTTCGCATGGACCACGTGACTCGAAACGCTTTGGCCGCGAGCAAAAATGAGGCCTAGGGACTAGGCAAATGCATCTCTACATTCTTGCATGCGTAATGAACCGCGAATTCACACGCGATCCAGTTACGAAATTTCTACCAGCTCAGTTTCCCTGAATTTGATGTAAAAGCCTTCTAAGAATATTAATTCATTCAAAGATTTTCAATCTGACCAAATACAGACAAGTTCTCGTAAATTATTCACTGCTCGTTACGCATGCAATAATTCCGATTTGAATTTGACACTAGTTCATGAATAGACACACAATGCTTGCACTGTAAGTATCCCGGAGAGCTCCATACAATTCCTTATAATTTTGCTATAACATTAGCTTAGGCGCGGCGGATTTTGTCACGTATGATCAGCGCGAGGTGTTTTTCCCGACACCCTTCTGTCGGGAAAACGTCATCATATGAAAGCAAACCAGACACGATCGTGTAATAAAATAAAAGGCTTTTCTTCTTCCATTTCAGAGGTCAGTTTTGTTTCGATCTGGTCAAAATAAATCAGGTTTTTAGGTTGTAGGTAATAAAATATTGTCTTATTCAGTTCTCAAGGACCTTTAGAAAACGAAATAAACGAGATAATTGACTCGACAATGACGCGTGAAAACGCTCTTTTGGAAGAAAATGTTTTCTAATTCCCGCAGCGATTTTGCGAAATCGCGAAGCGCAATATATTCAGTTTTTTCCAAATTCATCATGATTAAGCAGTGTAATGCCATCACAACTAAAACCGAATTTAATTTGTATCGCAAAAGCCGCGAAAATAGAGATAAAAAAAATGGATCGGAAAAATTTATAAAATCACCAAAAAACTGTCTCGCAGGGGCTTTGTCAAACAAAGCGTTGGTAAGACGTCTGCACGCAGAATACATTTCATCTTACATGTAGCTGTGATTTCTGGAACGGACCTCGGGAGCCTCATTGCCGTAATATCTTCTATATTGCAGAAACTACAGCAGAGTCGCCCTGCTCGCGTGCTAACTTTCCGCTCCAATTATGACTACACAGTACCAGTGAATTGTTTCAAGATTTAAAGCGGCCGAAACTTATTTCCATCAGCGCGTAGTTAGTTAGTTAGTTAGTTAGTTAGTTAAGCAATAATAATGCATAGCACTGTAAATAACACCCGGGGGGGTACTCCCATACATTACCTATACGGGTATGTGCCGCCCAACGGGGTCGTGATTTTGAAGCTCCTGATTTAGAACGGGGTATCCATTTCAGAGGCGTTTTCTAGAACGGGGTATAAAAAATTGTGGATCACGGCTTTATCTTCTGCTTAAAATTGTTGCTGATTATGAAGAAGCATTTATTTGATGTATAAGTCGAACAGATAAAGAAATATCTTTTTAAAAAAACAGGGCTATTTCAATTTACAAACTTTCTAGAACGGAGTATAACAAATTGGCCCATTTCTAGAACGGGGTATCAGTTTTAGGGCGAATTCTAGAACGGGGTATAAAAAATTGGCCCATTTCTAGAACGGGGTATCAATTTTAGGGGAAATTTTTTTTAGAATGGGGTGCCAATTTGGAGTGCCGGGCGGCACATACCCACCCAAAAAATATCCAAGTACCCCCCCGGGAAATAACACGGTTCTAGAATATCTGACGGCTTCGCGTTTTGTTCGTCGCTGCATGCGATTTAATCGCTTATGACCTAACAGAAAATGCATGAATACAAACAAGCTCGCTGTTCCACAACCCCGCACTGAATTTTAAAAAAGAAGCCTTTCTTATAACGGAAGAGTGTTGTTGAAAAGCTTGTCTCTGAGGGTGCGGCAATAATTTTTTTAAAGGAAAATTAAAAAGCCTTAATTTAGATATATGTATCTTTACACAAGGCTTCAATGTAAAGCTGGTTTTTTACTGTTATATCGTTATCATTTTAGTTTTAATCTTAGATTTATTTCTAGCTTAGTTATTAGTAGTTATTTTTCTATACTTGAATGTAAATGTACCTGAAACAAATACCGTGTATTAATGTTTTTATGCTCGGTGCGTTGGGAATTATGCGTGCGATTGGAGGTTACGTAATGAGTACTGCATTCAGGCGTGTTCATCACGCTTATTGTTGGGTTGTGTTTAAATAGGTTCACCACGTGTTGTGCTCTTACTTTAGGTCATTTCAGCGGGTGTAATCGACCGTCACTTAGTTTTTCTCTTTCTTCCTTTTTTCTTTACAGGTCATTCAGCGTCCAGAGACTTCCTCGGGGTTTTCATCGGCTGTCTCCTCTATCACTCCAAGAAATTTTACTAATTTTCGTCCTCAAACGTCAAAGGGCGCCTTTGTTAAAGGCCGTTATGACATCTGCTTCGCCTGCGGCAAGACCGGCCATTGGAGAGCAAGTTGCCCCAACTTATTCTTCACTCCCGGATCAACCTACAAACAGATCCAAAGCTTGTCAAGTAAAGACAGCGGTTCTTCTGGGCAGCAGTAGTTCCATTGCTGATGGTAAAGCAGTAAAAGAAACTCTTGAAGGTATTTTTGACGAAGGTCCAGCTTTAGAGGAGTGTTTTGAATTTGAGAATTCTTCCAATAGTATACAATCGGTTAAGGGTAGGCTTAAAGCTCATTTTAGTTTTTGGGCGGATACGTCAGGTGCAAAGTATTTCCTTCTCCGGGTTATTGACAAGGGGTATGCCGTACCCTTTATTACATTTCCTCAGAATGCGTTTTTCGACAATAACCTTTCAGCACTTACGCACGTTGATTTTGTTTTGAAGGCTATTCAAGAGCTTATTTTGTCAGGTTCAGTTGTTCAAGTATCTCAGTCCTCCTCATGTTGTCAATCCCTTGTCTGTTTCCATACAGAGTTGCGGCAAGAAGAGGTTGATTTTAGACCTCAGGCATGTCAATAAACATATTTGGAAAGAAAAGTTTAAGTTTGAGGATATTAGAGACGCTTGTGTTTATCTTCCTTCCGATCATTTTATGTTTAAATTTGATCTCAAATCTGGCTACCACCATATTGATATTTTGCAGGATCATCAAACTTTTTTAGGGTTTTCTTGGGTTGTTAATGGCGTAAGGAAGTTTTTTGTGTTTACAGTTCTTCCTTTTGGGCTGTCCTCAGCTCCTTATATTTTCACTAAGGTTGTTCGTGTTCTCGTCCGATATTGGAGAAGTCATGCTGTGAGAATAACAGTTTACCTTGATGACGGGCTTGGTTCCGCCCGTGATTTCGCTCGCTGCGAAGCTGCTTCATTATTTGTTAAGACTTCGCTTCAGCTTTCTGGTTTCCTGCCTAATGACAGTAAATCGATTTGGCAACCAACTTCTTGTCTAGTCTGGTTGGGTTATTGTATTGATTTAGCCGTTCATACTATTTCCATTCCTTCAGTTAGGATTCTCAGTGTCGTACAGGTTATTGATTCAATTCGTTCTCAGTATCCTTCTACTACTGCTAGAAAATTGGCTCAGCTTGTCGGTAAGGTTATCTCCATGGGTTTCGTCTTTGGTAACATTACTCGTCTTAAGACAAGATATTCTCATTTTGATATTTTAAGAAGCCCTACATGGGACGGAAAAATTTCCCTGTCGGGTTCAACTCTGAAAGAATTATGTTTTTGGAAAGAGAACATTACACAGTTCCATTATTCCCGTGTGTGTTATTCCGATGCGAGTTCTACAGGCTGCGCCAGTTATATGTTAGATCTTCACAACACCATTTCTCACAAGTTGTGGAGTGTTGATGAGGCGCAGAAGAGCTCCTCTTACAGGGAACTTAAGGCCGTTTCCCTGGGTCTAGAATCTTTTATGCCTTTACTTAAAGGGCGCACTATTAAGTGGTATACTGACAATCAGAGTGTTGCTAGAATCGTTGAAGTAGGAAGCATGAACGAAGATTTGCAATGCTTAGCTTTGCGTATTTTTAGTATGTGCTTGCTCAGTTGCATCACATTGGAAGTGGAATGGATTCCGAGATCGGCTAATGATAGAGCTGATTTTTTGAGCAGAATTGGCGATTATGATGATTGGCGGGTCAACAGGGACTATTTCCTTTTGGCCGAAGAGAAATGGGGTCCTCACTCTGTGGACCGGTTTGCGAATCATGAGAATACTCAGTTGCCCCGTTTTAATAGCAGGTTTTGGTGTCCTGGTACAGAGGCGGTTGATGCCTTTTCTGTTTCTTGGGCGGGCGAGAATAATTGGCTCGTTCCACCTATTTTTCTCATCCCCAAGGTCATTAATCACGTGGTTGCCCTGGGCGGTCGCGCTACACTTGTTGTTCCTGCTTGGCCTTCCGCCCCATTTTGGCCTTTAATTTTTACTGACGAGGGTTTGTCTCCCATATTCTCTGATATTTTTTAGATCCCCTTAGGTACTGATGTTTTCGTTTTGGGTAACTATAAAAATTCCCTTTTTGGATCACCTAATTTTCGTTCAGGGGTTTTGTTCTTGCGGTTTTCCTAGAGAGACCTTAGTTAACCCCCCCTCCCCCCCACTTTTTTCAGTCTTGTAGGAGGTTTTTCTCTGCAGTTTATAGAGTTCTTACTCTCATACCACATGGTATCCGAGTATTTTGGGATGCACTTGGATCCTTGTTTTGTGGACCACTTGGTCTTTTTTATTATGCAAGGGCCACTTTGGCCCTTAGTAGTAATATTTTTCTGTGTTTTTCTTGGGACCACTTGGACCCAACCTTACCTTGTTTCACTGCGTGTTGTATTTTTCTGATATATTTTGGTCATTTTGGTCATTTTATTTTCTCTATTTTTTGCTTCAGATGTTAAAGCAGCTGCCAGTCGGACGTTTGGCGTTTTACTTTGTGAGAAGTTTTGGCTCTCTGCCTTTAATTCTCGAGCTGATAACACAGTTATTAATTATTGTAAATCATCATGTAAGTTTAAAGCGTGGTGCTTGCAGAGCACTGGGGAGGTTTCTTTTCTCCCAGCTACTTCCTTCACAGTTTCCTTGTATTTGCATCATTTATTAGAAAATTCGTTAGGTAGTTCCACCATTCACGGCGTTTTTTACGCTATTAACTGGGTACATAAGTTATCAGGATTTGAGAATCCCAATCCGTGTGACAACTTTCTCGTCAGGTCTATTGTTGAGGCTTCCAGTCGTGCTCCTCGTAAACCTGTTAGGAAGGCGGAGCCCATTACCCCAGAGATCCTTGGCTTAATTTTGCAGCATTATGGGGAAAGTAGTAACTTACTTGATATCAGGTTTGTCTGTATGTGTTTACTCGCATATGCTGGCTTTTTCCGCATTTCCGAGCTTTTAAGCATTAGGAGATCTAATATTGTAACTGAAGATCTCTATCATAAGATTTTCGTAGAAGTTAGCAAGACTAATAGGTACAGAGAGGGTTCCTGGGTTTATATTGCCAAGACTGGCAATTTTACTTGCCCTTATACATACCTTATTAAGTACTTAGAAGCTGCCAGGATTCCTTCTTTTTCTCAGAATTTCATTTTCAGATCCTTACGGTACGACAAGGATTTGAAGGGCAATGTCTTGTCTTCAAAGCCCCTCAGTGCTAGCAGGGCGGGAGAAATTCTTAAGAGGAAGCTGAAAGCTATTAGATTAGACCCTTCTAAGTTTAGTAGTCACAGCTTTAGGTCCGGAGGAGCTACTTCCGCTGCTAATCTGAATGTTCCAGATCGGCTTTTCAAAGTTCACGGAAGGTGGAGGTCAGATTCAGCTAAAGACGGCTACGTCCACGATAAAGTCGACTCGCGTCTTTATGTTCCTTTGCACATTGGAATTTAATTTATTCAATTTTTGTACGAGTGGGTTTAGATTCAGTTTGTATTTTTCCTATCATTTATACTTTTGTATCATGTAAGTTGTGTTTGTTAGGAGGTCGTATTATACCACTGCCGACCTATTCCTCCTATACAATAAATTCATTATTGTGTATTTGCTTGTGTGTGTTTCATTATTTCAGAGTTTAGAGCATAAATAAGTTATTTTCGGTACGCAGTTTAGAAAATAACCTTACCTTACCTCTGTGATGTGTGTAAATTTGTCTTTTGCTATGGTTTTAGACAATACGACTTCTCCTGAATATTAATTGTGCGTCAAAAAAATGTATCAAGCGCGCGATAAAGAAATAGTCGAAGTTTTAACTGGAAAACTTGTTTCCATCTGATGTACACCTGTATAGTCTATGTTTGTTAGCTCTGCCTAAAAAATGACTGGGTTACACTGCACCCATGGGTGTGCCACCTAAAGTGCAGCCTATGTTTGTTAGCTCTGCCTAAAGAATCACTGGGTTACACTGCACCCATGGGTGTGCCACCTAAAGTGCAGCCTATATTTGTTAGCTATACCTAAAGAATCACTGGGTTACACTGCACCCATGGGTGTGCCACCTAAAGTGCAGCCTATATTTGTTAGCTATACCTAAAGAATCACTAGGTTACACTGCACCCATAGGTGTGCCACCTAAAGTGCAGCCTATGTTTGTTAGCTCTACCTAAAGAATCACTGGGTTACAATGCACCCGTACCCATGGGTGTGCCACCTAAAGTGCAGCCTATGTTTGTTAGCTCTACCTAAAGAATCACTGGGTTACACTGCACCCATGGTGTGCCACCTAAAGTGCAGCCTATGTTTGTTAGCTCTGCCTAAAGAATCACTAGGTTACACTGCACCCATGGGTGTGCCACCTAAAGTGCAGCCTATGTTTGTTAGCTTTACCTAAAGAATCACTGGGTTACACCGCGCTCACGGACGTTTGCCTCGCGCTCTCTTTAAAGACAAAAAAGCTGTAGTCTTTTTGGCCAAGAATCAAGCTTTGTTTCCCCTAAACATTTGACCCCATATTGGGCCCCGAAAGACGTTAAAAGTTCCTCCATAATAGAAGAGTGCTTTGCTAGAGTTAACAAACGTTTGGCCAACATGAGTTTCAATACAAAGGTGCAAAAACTTATCAGCATAATTACAGCATAGCACACAAACATTGTCATCAAACTCCTGGCATGTAGCCTGAATAAGCCAAGCAAATAAAGCATATGACGAGAAATATTCGTCAAATGGTCTCGTTAGGTAAATTATACTTCACTTTTCGAAAGAAATTTATCGCTTATATCCGTGATACGCATCGAAAAAGCGAGGAGTCATCGCATGACATTAGGTAACAGAGGTAATACTCACGGGTTTCACGAATTCCAATTCCACGATTTTTAGCCGAGTAACAAATTTAAAACTTCAATTCTTACCTTACAGTTGTCGGTTCATTTACCTTACATTCGCCAACACTAGTAAACATGAACAAAACGATGAAATCAGAAGTAGCAAGCCGCATGAAGTAAAATCCACCGATATGCGCTGCATTCTCACTACAGTACAAATATAAACATTTGTCGTGGTGAAAATACGACGAGGAGGAAAAAATGCCAGATCTTCGCCTCGGCAATGTATTCCAGCTACCAAGTCGGCGTATCTCCAGAAGGTGGACTCGAGGTGGGACAAACCTTGTGATTTTTTTAGGAGCCCTTTGCGCGCAAACTGATTTATTCTGGCGCGAAATGAAGATTAAGAAAATGTATCTGAAATCTAATACACGACAAGAAAATTTTCGCACTTTCGAGGAGAGCGACATATTAAATGGGATTAAGTCGGATTAGCTGCCCGCGGAGAAAACATCCCTGCGTGGGATTGTACTTCCAGTAAAAAGCCTCTGTGTCCTCTCATGATCGTATCAAAGCACTTACAAAACTTTCTGCACTTAGGTTCGGCACAAGTTCAATATGAACAGATCGTGATGTAGCTTTGAATAATGCTACGTAAGTCTTATTCATCCCCTTTTTCTTCAGCTGAGAATACATCCATGACATACAAGGGTTTGGCGAAAACTACTCCAACACATGTGAAGGGGAAATCATCATTTAACCGAAATCCAGGCAGAGGAGGGGGAGGAGGAACTGCATAGCCTTGGCCTTCAATTTTTTTTTATAATAATAACTATTTATTCACAAATTAAATCCATGGAAAATTGAAAAGGGGATAAAGGAGGTTATCTCTTTCTAGTTTATCCAGTTTATTTCCTTATAATAAAATAAATTACGATCATTAATTATTTACAATTGTTTAAGTAAATATAAAATAATTATGAAATATATTACACGCTTGAAGTATTCCCCTGACTAGAAAAATTTGCAAAATGACGTCTCATCACGAAATTTTCTAAGATTCTTTAACGTCTTCTTCTTCGACCTGACCACGTTTCATTGCTTAATTTTAGTAAACAGGCAGCGTAAGACAGTCTTTCAACCGATGAAATTCAGTTTTCCAAGAGTTCCCGGGTCTCGGCATCAATGTATAAAACGGACACAATCGTAGACTTCCTTCAGATGATCTTCAAGAATATAATTCAAAACCTTCAGACTAGCACTACATTAGGAAACATTCAGAATCCTCGAGCAAGAGAGATAAATCGTGGAGGCGGGGAGGGAGGGTTTTCCAAAACGAAAACACGTTATACTGTCGTCCACTGAACCCCCGTTTCCAGCATACATTTCTAGATATCAAAAAGTACTCTGGATGGTCTAAAAAGCGTTTTCAATGTAGTTAGGACGAAACCCTCGTTGGGTCCCCCAGGTACAATACCAATTTAAGCACTAAAGCACGCGTACTAACTCCGCGGTAAACTGACAATTCGCTGTTTGAGAAGCGTGAAACTCCAACAGAGTGTACGTGATCCACGCGCTAAAACCCTGTAAGCGAGG